TGTGTGTGTGTGTGTGCTGGGTGTGTGTGTGCTGGGTGTGTGTGTGTGCTGGGTGTGTGTGTGTGCTGGGTGTGTGTGTGTGCTGGGTGTGTGTGTGTGTGTGCTGGGTGTGTGTTTATGTGCTGGGTATGTGGGTGTGTGCTGGGTGTGTGCGTGTGTGTGTGTGCTGAGGTAAGCGTGCCAGGCATAGGAACGTGCTGGGTGTGCACAGAGGTGCGTGTTCCATCTGCACCGGGGAGCATGCACGCGTGCACGCAGGGGTGTCCACAGGAGAGTGTGTGGAGACTTGCCCGGGTATGTGAGTGTGTGGTGCGTGTGACTCGGTGAGCAGCAGCATGTGCAGGTGTGAGTGCCGCAGACCTGGAGACAGGGCCGTTTGGGACAGACATCCGCCGTCTACCAGCACTCCCGTCGTAGCCCGGAGCGTGCTGTCCCCAGCATCCCCGCGGGGTCTCCCGTGTGCTGTCCCCAGCATCGCTGCGGGGTCTCCCGTGTGCTGTCCCCAGCATTGCCGCGGGGTCTCCCATGTGCTGTCCCCAGCATCCCCGCGGGGTCTCCCGTGTGCTGTCCCCAGCATTGCCGCGGGGTCTCCCGTGAGCTGTCCCCAGCATCCCCGCGGGGTCTCCCGTGCTGTCCCCAGCATCCCCGCGGGGTCTCCCGTGCTGTCCCCAGCATCGCCGCGGGGTCTCCCGTGTGCTGTCCCCCAGCATCCCCGCGGGGTCTCCCGTGTGCTGTCCCCAGCATCCCCGCGGGGTCTCCCATGTGCTGTCCCCCCCAGCATCCCCGCGGGGTCTCCCGTGCTGTCCCCAGCATCCCCGCGGGGTCTCCCGTGTGCTGTCCCCCAGCATCCCCGCGGGGTCTCCCGTGTGCTGTCGCGGGGTCTCCCATGTGCTGTCCCCCCCAGCATCCCCGCGGGGTCTCCCGTGCTGTCCCCAGCATCCCCGCGGGGTCTCCCATGTGCTGTCCCCAGCATCCCCGCGGGGTCTCCCATGTGCTGTCCCCCCCAGCATCGCTGCGGGGTCTCCCGTGTGCTGTCCCCCCCAGCATCGCTGCGGGGTCTCCCGTGTGCTGTCCCCAGCATCGCCGCGGGGTCTCCCGTGTGCTGTCCCCAGCATCCCCGCGGGGTCTCCCGTGTGCTGTCCCTCAGCATCCCCGCGGGGTCTCCCGTGCTGTCCCCAGCATCGCCACGGGGTCTCCCGTGTGCTGTCCCCAGCATCCCCGCGGGGTCTCCCGTGTGCTGTCCCCAGCATCCCCGCGGAGTCTCCCGTGTGCTGTCCCCCCCAGCATCGCCGCGGGGTCTCCCGTGCTGTCCCCAGCATCCCCGCGGGGTCTCCCGTGTGCTGTCCCCAGCATCGCCGCGGGGTCTCCCGTGTGCTGTCCCCAGCATCGCCGCGGGGTCTCCCGTGTGCTGTCCCCAGCATCGCCGCGGAGTCTCCCGTGTGCTGTCCCCCCCAGCATCGCCGCGGGGTCTCCCATGTGCTGTCCCCCCCAGCATCGCCGCGGGGTCTCCCGTGTGCTGTCCCCCCAGCATCCCCGCGGGGTCTCCCGTGTGCTGTCCCACCCAGCATCCCCGCGGGGTCTCCCGTGCTGTCCCCAGCATCCCCGCGGGGTCTCCCGTGCTGTCCCCAGCATCCCCGCGGGGTCTCCCGTGTGCTGTCCCCAGCATCCCCGCGGGGTCTCCCGTGTGCTGTCCCACCCAGCATCGCCGCGGGGTCTCCCGTGTGCTGTCCCCAGCATCCCCGCGGGGTGTCCCGTGTGCTGTCCCCAGCATCGCCGCGGGGTCTCCCGTGTGCTGTCCCCAGCATCCCCGCGGGGTCTCCCGTGTGCTGTCCCCCCCAGCATCCCCGCGGGGTCTCCCGTGTGCTGTCCCCCCCAGCATCCCCGCGGGGTCTCCTGTGTGCTGTCCCCAGCATCCCCGCGGGGTCTCCCATGTGCTGTCCCCAGCATCGCTGCGGGGTCTCCTGTGTGGCGTCGCGTTTTCCTCCTCTGGAGCTGACCCCCCCCCGCCCCGTCTCCTTCCACAGGCCTGGGCCAGGCCCCCAGCCACCTGTCTGGCCTGAGCGTGCCCTGCCCCCTGCCCAGCCCCCAGGCGGGCACGCTGACCTGCCAGCTGAAGAGCTGCCCCTACTGTGCCCGCGCCCTGGAGGACCCGGAGCTGGAGCTGAGCGGCTCAGAGAGCGGGGACTCCGACACCCACGGCGTCTACGAGTTCACGCGGGACCTGAGGCACGGCGACCACCGGGACCCCCTGCGGCCCCCGGCGGACACAGCCGCCCCGGGCAGCCCCCCACGGCTGCCACAGCAGCAGGGGAGCTCGGGCCGGCCCGGGAGCCTGGGCCGTGCATGGGCCTCCTTCAGCAGCAAGCTGGGCCGCATCGTGGACAGCAAGTACTTCAACCGCGGCATCATGGTGGCCATCCTCATTAACACGCTGAGCATGGGCGTCGAGTACCACGAGCAGGTGGGCGGGGCGTGGGCAGTGCGTGTCCACCTCACCCAGCCCTCCCGGGCACAGAGGGCCAGGGGCCCACAGGAGGGCAGGCAGGGCAGATTGCACATGGGGGCTGGATCAGGGGCTGTCTGTGTGGTTGTTTTTGTTTTTGCCAGTCAGTCCTGGGGCTTGAACTCGGGCCCCGAGCTGGTTTTGCTCAAGGCTAGCACTCTATCACTTGCGCCACAGCGTTTTCTGTGTATGTGATACTAAGGAATCGAACCCAGGGCTTCAGGCATGCTAAGCAAGCGCTCTACCACTGAGCCACATCCCAGCCCCTGTGTGGGGGTGTTGGGTTTTTTTTTTTTTTTATCATCGCTCAACAAATACCCACGATTCCTTGAGCTGGTTCTCTTTGGAGTAGCACACACAGCCCGTGGGGCTTCTGCTCTGGGTGAGGCTGTGAGAAGGCCAGACCCACACACACACACACAAAGCCCAGGGACCAGAGACCCAGCTGCCTCGGTCCATGGACTCAGGCCCAGATCTCCCTCGGTGCCCACTAGGGTCCCTCGGGCTGAGACGGTGAGCACACGGCGTGGGGGGAGACCGGCCAGGTCCAATGCGAAGCACACCTGCTCCGGGGACAGCAGCGCAGCCACGGCCTCTAAATCTGCTCTGAGTGAGAGAACGGATCTCTCTGCTCTCCAGGCTTTTCCAGTCGCTTGTTTCCTTTCATCTTCTGTTTTGGGGGAATCTACTGTCAGCCCCAGGCAGGCCCAGGGCAGGGTGAACGGCGCTGGCAAGGCCAGCCACCTGCGTGCGGATAGGCACACACGTGCAGCATGTGCCGGACACCCTGGACCCCGGGCTTCCTCCCGTGGCCGCAGCCGCACAGCCATCCTCCAAGGGGCTGGAGCTAGGCGCAAGGCCCTGATCACCCCTCCTTACCCACAGCCTGATGAGCTCACCAATGCCCTGGAGATCAGCAACATCGTCTTCACCAGCATGTTTGCCCTGGAGATGCTGCTGAAGCTGCTGGCGTGCGGCCCGCTGGGTTACATCCGGAACCCCTACAACATCTTCGACGGCATCATCGTGGTCATCAGGTGCGCCCAGGGCTTGGGAAGCTGGGCTTGGGTGGAGACCTCACCTGCTTCCTGCATGCTGGGCTGACCAGAGGCCACTCTGGTTCTGGGCTGGTGACGCTGGCCCCAGGGCCAGGCCCGGTCCCCCCCAGCTCACGGCGGGAACTCTGGCCCGCAGCGTGTGGGAGATCGTGGGGCAGGCGGACGGCGGGCTGTCGGTGCTGCGCACTTTCCGGCTCCTGCGGGTGCTGAAGCTGGTGCGCTTCCTGCCCGCGCTGCGGCGCCAGCTCGTGGTGCTCATGAAGACCATGGACAACGTGGCCACCTTCTGCATGCTGCTCATGCTCTTCATCTTCATCTTCAGGTGCGCTCTGCGGGCCCGGCAGGCAGACGGGGCGGGGGTGCAGCCCTCGGCCTGGGGCGGCCGGGAGGCGGGGAAGGAGCAGAGGCCCTGCATGGTCCCCGGAGGTCGCCTGCTGCGGCTCTCATGAGCGTCCCGTGCTCCGGGGACACTGATGGATGGGCTCTGGCGGGTTCACAGAGGCAGGGTGGAGACAGAGAGCCCCTCAGACAGACAGATAGACATAGACTGAGGACAGGGCCTGGGTCCCAGCGGAGCTCCCGAGCACTCCCTGTGCTCTAGCTGGGCCCGGCGAGGGGGTGGTAGGATGGGCAGACCGAGATGGGCATCCCAGCATGGACGGCCGCCCGGAGCCAGGGGGCCTCTAGATGGGCATCCCAGCACGGACGGCCGCCCGGAGCCAGGGGGCCTCCAGTTGTGCCACCCCTCAGCAGGAGAGCCCCTGCAGCCCTGGGGTCCGTCCGTGCTTACAGAGCGCGGGGGTGGGGTGGAGGGGAGGCACTCCAGCTGGGGAGGGCCCCCCATGCTCAGTGCCCGCCCCCTGCAGCATCCTGGGCATGCACCTCTTTGGCTGCAAATTCAGCCTGAAGACAGACTCGGGAGACACCGTCCCCGACAGGAAGAACTTTGACTCTTTGCTGTGGGCCATCGTCACTGTGTTCCAGGTAGGTGGCACACAGGATGGCCACCCGAGGAGCGGGGGGGGGGCGGGGGGCCGGGGGTGACCAGGGCGTCCCCACGGGCCGGGCCCGCAGATCCTGACGCAGGAGGACTGGAATGTGGTGCTCTACAACGGCATGGCCTCCACCTCATCCTGGGCCGCCCTCTACTTCGTGGCGCTCATGACCTTCGGCAACTACGTGCTCTTCAACCTGCTGGTGGCCATCCTGGTGGAGGGGTTCCAGGCAGAGGTGAGGGGCGGGGAGCCCCTCCACACACACACACACCCCTGCTCCGCCCACTCCCGAGGCAGAGGGTCCCACACTGGAGCCTCACGCTGCCTCTGCCACCTGGGTGCAGGGGGACGCCACCAGATCCGACACCGATGAGGACAAGACATCCACTCACTTTGAGGAAGACTTGGACAAGTTCAGAGACCTGCAGGCCACAGGTCTGTGTGTGGGTGATGGGTGGGCGGGGCTTGCAGGAGGACCCCCTTTCACTCCCAGAGTGAGTGATGGGTGGGTGGGGCTTGCAGCAGGACCCACCCACACCCTGAGTGAGTGATGGGCGGGTGGGCTTATAGGAGGGTGAGACTTAGGGTGGGGCTTACAGGACTCCCTGAGTGATGGATGGGCGGAGCTTGCAGGAGGACCCCCTTTCACTCCCAGAGTGGGTGATGGGTGGGGGGCTTGCAGGGGGACCCTCCCCCCACTCCTGGAGCCCTGAAGGCTCAAGGACTCACTACCACCAGAGATGAAGACATACTCGCTGTCAGTGACCCCCAATGGGCACCTGGAAGGCCGGGGCAGCCTGCCCCCACCCCTCATCATGCACACGGCCGCCACGCCCATGCCCACCCCTAAGGGCTCCCCACACCTGGACGCGGCCCACGGCCTCGTGGACTCACGGCGTGGCAGCAGCAGCTCTGTGGACCCTCAACTCGGGGACCAGAAGTCTCTGGTAGGCACCGTCCCTGGGCCTAAGATGCCCACCGTGACATAGGCCAGCGCTGGGGCCTGGAGCTGGAGGCCTTAGCCGCCGCTCTTGGTCAGCTTTTCCACCCGACCAGCCCGTCAGAGCCTCCAGGGTCTCCAGACAAACCACCGGCAGGGCTCAGCCGTGCCGCGGCCACCCCGGCTCCCGGAAGCCTAATGCCCAGTGTGGGTGGGCGGAGGCCTGGGCAGGGACACCAGGGCGCTCGGGGAAGGCCACACACCCCTGAGAGACAGCGCGTCCCTGGGCCAGCATTCCCACCAGTGCCGGGGCCTTGGGGAGGTGGGCGGAGACGAGCTAGCGGTGAGTCTCGCTACTACCACACCCAAGAGTGGCGCGACCCCTGGGTCCGGGCCGCTTTGTGTCCTGAGATGGCAGCTCTCCGCTCCCTGCCAGTCCGTGGGCTGAAATCATTGCCGCCAGGCGCTTGCTGGGTGTGGGCCAGCCCACGCGGCAGGCAGAGTCCCCTCCCAGCCAGGGGGGTAACCTTCATGCCAGCATGGCGACGGCGGCCATGGGCCGTGAAGCCCCGATCAAGGCTCCTTGGGCCCGGAAGCCGCGGGCGGCGCGGGCCGGTGCCATCCTGCTCACTCTCCCCTCCCCCCCACCCGCAGGCCAGCCACCGCAGCTCCCCCTGTGCCCCCTGGGGCCCCGGCAGCGCCTGGAGCAGCCGGCGCTCGAGCTGGAACAGCCTGGGCCGCGCGCCCAGCCTCAAGCGCCGCAGCCAGAGCGGGGAGCGCGAGTCCCTGCTGTCGGGAGAGGGCAAAGGCAGCACCGACGACGAGGCC